CCCCGATACTTAAATTTTTAAACTTTGTTTCAAAATAAGGTTTCAAATTTTGAAAATTTAAAATTTCATCAGTATTAAATAGGGATGTAAGAACTCTGTATTGTTAAAAGGATACATTGCTTAAAATATGGTGATGCTGAGCAGATTTCAATCTCTGATTTCATGCTTTCACTGTAAAATGTAGGGATTAAAGAGATGATTTTTAAGCTTTTAGCTTTGTTTTGCTGAGTGCCTATATAAAGTACTATACTGCATATAGGATAAACATGGAAAACAAAGACTAGTATAGTTCTTGCTGTAGATCTGCATGGCAAACTATAGTGAGTAGGATAAATCAGGCCATGCTTATTCATTTTCATATTGTGTATCATTGTGTTCAGTCTGTAGTGGCAGAGTTGAATTCCAAGAGAGACCATGTGACCACAAAGCTGAAAATATTTAGTCTTTTTTAAAAAAAATTTGTTACTACTCTTTATTTATGTATTTTGAAAGTTTGCTGTAGGGCATATGTGCTTACCAGAGAGAAAGAGAGGGAAGGTGAGAAAGCAAGATACCAGGTCCAGGCCTGAGTAGGTGGGCTGCTGCTGCTTTGTGTTAAGGGTAACGTTCCTCTTGGACACCTGACCGTGTTGTTGCTGCATACCTGCTCGACGGTCGTGAGCCTTTCCCAGTTACCCTTGGCAAAGCAGCACCACGAGACTCGTGCTTTTCTTGTGTTCCTCGTACTCAGGGGCAGCCTCGGCCTAATGCCTGTGCTTCCTTCCTCTAGGCCAGAGCCAATGGGCTGAAGTCGTGCGTCATTGTCATCCGGGTCCTGAGGGACCTGTGCACCCGCGTGCCCACCTGGGGTCCCCTTCGAGGCTGGGTAAGATGCTGGGCAGCTTTGGCCATGGGAGTGGTATAGGTCAGGAGGCGTAGAGCGCCCCATGGGTGCTGCGAGTACTGGGCGGACTCTGGGCAGGCGTGGCTGACATGGCTCCTTTGGCGCTAATCCTAGGGCAGCTCTTGGGTATTCTCACCCAGATCTGGCAGAGGGAGCCAGGGAGCCTCTACCAGAGGATGCCAGCTTGGGGATGCCGAGCTCACCATGGAGGGGCGCTGGCCAGGCAGCAGGATGTGATCCACTCTGGGAAGAAGTGTTTGTTAGGTGCCCTTGACAGGGTCGTGGCCAAGGGCCTGCAGGCCAGTTCCAGAGACCTGCCTACTTCTCCATAGCGGGCGGTTTTCAGTGCTTCTGCTTAAGCAAAAGGTTTCCACATCGGACCCCAACGTTACTCTCGGCCCACACAGCCGAAAAGATTCTGTGTTTGGCCCTTGTAAGAAAAAGGCGTCTGGCTCCTGCCCTACTTGGCCTGTTGCCTCAGCCGCACGTCTTTGGCTCTGACAGTCTCTCTCCCTGCCGCACAAGCTCACAGTGACAGCGCCCCAGCAGCGGCCAACCCCTCTCCCGCAGACCGACTCACCACCCCTTTTGCTTTCCAGCCTCTCGAGCTCCTGTGTGAGAAGTCCATCGGCACGGCCAACAGACCCATGGGTGCCGGCGAGGCCCTGCGCAGAGTGCTGGAGTGCCTGGCGTCGGGCATCGTCATGCCAGGTTGGGGCCTTGTGCTTGGCAGGTCGCAGGGAAGGACAGGGATCGAGGCCCCGAGGCCACTTCCTCGCTGTCCCCGCCTGGGTTAGGGCAGCAGCAGCAGCGCCCGGTCCCTAGGGCTGAAGCATGTGACTACCCTCTTGCACCATCATATCCAGCCCTGTGCCGGGTCCGCAGCCATCGTTGAGGGGCGGATCCAGGGGCAGTGGTGACCCACTCCCACGTGACTTTCTTGCTCTGAGCCATATGTGGATTATTTCTGTCAAGGGCTGGACGCCGAGTGGGTCACCGAGCTCGGCGTGTTTTCCAGAGCTGGGTGTGGATGGGGCGCGGGGGGTAATGCACCTGGTCCCTCAGCCAGCACCACTCTGCCGAGATGCTAAAGATAATCCTCTGCATATCTTCCTTGTTTCCTGCCTTCAGATGGTTCTGGCATTTATGACCCTTGTGAAAAAGAAGCCACTGATGCTATTGGGCATCTAGACAGACAGCAACGGGAAGATATCACACAGAGTGCGCAGGTATAGTCTCGCCATTGCCGCCTGAGCCCTGGCCCAGTCTGTAACGCTGGCTTCAGTTCCATCACTGGGTACTCGCAGGGTAGCCCCTGGGCTCGTAGGCTCATGTCGGGGACTGAAGGCGCAGGGCTCCTGTCTGATACAGGGCGCCCCAATCTGGGCTGCTTCTTTCCCCTGGCGCCATGCGTGGTTGTCGTCTGCCCCCTCGGCCTGCTCGAGTGCCGTTTTCGGACACCGAGTTGAGCGGGCGGATGTGTTTGCTGTGCGGACTGCTCCGGGGGTCCTCCCCCTGCAGGCCCACCACGTGGCTCCGTGTGGCAACCAGTCCCCAGGTTGGGGTCTCCTGTATTCCTGTTAAGGGGGGTGGTCACAGGCTGGCCTTCCCCCACAGCGCGGCTGGGCCCGAGCCGTCAGGCCCTCCCCTGCTGTCGGGGGACCCCTCGCTGCTGTAGGGGAGACCATTAGCAGCACCCTCAGCTCCCGCCCCTGCAGAAGGCATTAGCGAGTGCACACATAGTGGCCAGGAGCGCAGGGCAGCTCAGTGAGAACCCGCTTCCCCCCTCCAGCACGCCCTGCGCCTCGCCGCCTTCGGCCAGCTCCACAAAGTCCTGGGCATGGACCCTCTGCCTTCCAAGATGCCCAAGAAACCAAAGAACGAGAACCCAGTGGACTACACCGGTAAGCTTGTGGCGGTGGCCATGGGTCAGGGTGGGGCCAGTGGCCTCAGCACCACTCAGCAGCCTCTGCCCATCTCCTCTTGCAGTTCAAATCCCCCCCAGCACTACCTACGCCATTACCCCCATGAAACGCCCAATGGAGGAGGACGGGGAGGAGAAGTCTCCTAGCAAGAAGAAGAAGAAGATTCAAAAGAAAGGTACAGGGGCCGCCCAGTGGCGTGGTGGTTAAGGGTGCTGAGCTCTCACAGGGCTGACTGCGGTTCGAGTCCTGAACCTGGAGGCTCGCTTGGTCTCCCTCTCTCTCTCTTTTCCCCTCTGGTAAAGATAAAGTAAATAAAGGTAATTAGCTCTTTTTAAAAAGAAAAGAAAGAAAGGCACAGAGTGCAGAGTGGCTGTGTGTCCCGCCCCGGTCTGCCTCCACTTAGGGCTCCCCTGAACATGCTGAGGTGACTTCCTTATTTTTCACGGACACAATATTTAAGTCCTTTTAAAAATTCTCAGATAAGTCAACTGGTGGCCCATCAGTAAAGCTGTTGTTCCCACACCAGCAGCCTGGGTTACTGCCCTTAGGCGACCTGATCCCACCAGTGCACGCTGGGACTAGGCAAGACTGACATGGAGCGTGGTATGGAGACTCTTAGGGGTGCTCTCTGCCCCTGTCCGTCCCACGGAAACAAATACAAATTCAATGAAAACAAACATTAGAAAGTAGAATGATGCAATTATGGGACACAAGTGGGTCACATAGGTCCCTCTGGTGGCTTGGCAGGGTATGGGCCTCGTGACAGGCAGGCCCTGGGCCTGTGCGTTGACCGAGCACACCTGGCAGCCCTGGAAGTGCTCAATGGAGTCCCCCTGTGTTCTCTAGAGGAGAAGGCCGAGCCCCCACAAGCCATGAACGCCCTGATGAGATTGAACCAGCTGAAGCCAGGGCTGCAGTACAAGCTGGTCTCCCAGACGGGCCCCGTGCACGCCCCCATCTTCACCATGTCTGTGGAGGTGGACGGCAGCTCCTTCGAGGCCTCTGGGCCGTCCAAGAAGACTGCCAAGCTGCATGTGGCCGTTAAGGTACGTGTGGCCATGTCCCTGTCTTCCGAGTGGCAGGGCCACGTTCCACATCGTGGACTCCCTCAGCCCCTGTCCCTTAGGGAAGGGTTCAGGGAGGGACCGGCCATCAGGAACTCTGGGTGGTCAAGCTGTCCACATGTGCCAAGTCACCACGGCCAGACACCTCATGTGGCTGATGGGCTGGGAATACCACTTCCCAAGGGCTGTGCTCCTCCTCCAGGGTGTCTAACAGGGTTCCTGCGGGTGTGGGCCTGTGCGATGGCCCACGTAGAGGTCTGCTCACCCTGGGCTCGGGCCCTGCCGCCTCTACAGGTGTTGCAGGACATGGGCTTGCCGACGGGCGCCGAGGGCAGGGACTCGAGCAGGGGGGAGGACTCTGCCGAGGAGAGCGATATGAAGCCGGTGCTGGCCCCTCCCCCCATGGTGGAAGCCATCTCCAACCCCAGCGCTGTCTACCCCTCAGATGCCACCGCTGAGGTGAGCCTGTGGTGGGCGCTGGGCGGGCCCGGCAGGACAGAGCAGACGCCCGTGTCCTGGGAGCCGAGGCAGTTGCCGCTTCTTGGTGACTTCCATGGAGAGAGTAGGCCTGCCAGGCCAGGAGCCCACAGAGGTGCTGGGGGTGGCCTTCGTGCCACCTGTCCAAGGGACGCGGTGACCCTGACCAGCATCTAGGGCTCTGCTGGGCGGCCCGCAGTCCAGAGCGTGCTGCTGCCCAGAGTTAGGGTACTACCTGGGGTCGGCAGAGGTGGGGCCCAGGGCCAGCAGGGGCGGGCAGCGTGGCTGAGGGTGCTGGTTCTTTTCTCCTTCCCCTGAGAACGTAAAACAGCAGGGGCCGATCCTCACCAAGCACGGCAAGAACCCCGTCATGGAGCTCAACGAGAAGCGGCGCGGCCTCAAGTACGAGCTCATCTCGGAGACGGGCGGCAGCCACGACAAGCGCTTTGTCATGGAGGTGAGGGCCAGCGGGCCCCAGGCCTGGGAGCTGGGGCTTCGGGTCCGTCTTTGTCCCCGGGGAGGTCGCCGGGTCGTCCCCGACACACCTGTGCTCTCCCAGGTCGAGGTGGACGGGCAGAAGTTTCAAGGTGCCGGGTCCAACAAAAAGGTGGCCAAGGCGTTCGCTGCCCTGGCAGCGCTGGAGAAGCTGTTCCCCGATGCCCCTCTTGCCCTCGACATTAACAAAAAGAAGAGAGCCCCGGTGCCCGTCAGAGGGGGCCCCAAGTTTGCTGCTAAGGTGAGCAGTGCCCTTGAAGGGTGCGTGTCAGAAGGGAGCCCCCTGGGGCCTGAGCGCGAAGTGGACTTAACAGGTCTGTGTTGTTTCTGGTTCAGCCGCACAGCCCTGGCTTTGGCATGGGTGGCCCCATGCACAACGAGGTGCCCCCGCCCCCCAGCCTTCGAGGCCGGGGACGAGGAGGCAACATCCGCGGGCGAGGCCGAGGGCGAGGATTTGGTGGTGCCAACCATGGAGGCTACATGAATGCTGGTGAGGCCCTTGTTCCCTGAGGTCCCTGGCCACCCAGCTCGCATGCTCTGGGGACAGGTGCTGTGCTCTCTGGGCATCGAGGCCCCTGGGTGGGGCGGAGGGCCGGCCGGGGCGGGCAGCACAACTCTTCCCCGTAACCCTGTCTGGTCTCTTGCAGGCGCTGGCTACGGCAGCTACGGGTACGGCGGCAACTCGGCCACGGCCGGCTACAGTAAGTGTGTTTCTCTCTCTCTCGACTTGGGAGGAGGCCGCAGCTTAGCTCCCGGGCCTAGTTAGCGCGGGGCGCCCGCGGCAGCCTCCCTGGGCCTACACAGTGGCCTGCACCAATTTGCGGTGCTTAGGTCAGGCTGCCTCTCAGCCCCCACCCCGTCCCACAAGTGTCACTGATTCTCCAAACGCAGACACAGGAACCCGTGTGCCTTCCCATCTCCTCGGTAGTCAGAATTTTACATTTCTCTGCTTTGAGCCACGCGAAGCACCCATCTCGCGAGTACGCTTTCCTGACAGTGCGCAGCTCTTGTCTTGAGAAGGAGCCTTCACTGGGGGGTTACAGGAGCAGAGAAATCTAAAACTTGAATTTCAAATGTGGCGCTCTGGGCCATTTTTCAAAAGAATTCTAATTTCTTCTCTCTGCTCTGTCTCCCCCTTTTGTAGGTGACTTTTTCACAGACTGCTACGGCTATCATGATTTTGGGTCTTCCTAGAGCGTCTAAAAGTATTGCACACAAAATCAACTTTTTACTCCAATTTCCTCCAACTCCAAAACCCAAAGTGTCCGTGCTGTGTCCCTGTGCTTCACTGGGTCTCTCAACCGTGGCTTTTCACCGCAGCCTGTCTGAAACTCTTAGCCTGCAGAATTTAAGACAATGGCAGTTTTTATCGTGATTTGCCTTTGAACTTGGTCATATCGAAGTTCACACTAAGTGGAAAACACTTTTTTCCGAGAATGTATTTTTTGTGCAGAACTGCACAGAATTCTAGAGCCAGCGCTGTTCGGCATCAAGGCAAAAGCCCACCTTTGCTTTTTATGGAAAGCGTTCCTTTATTTAAAGAGACAGATAATGACGCATTTTAATCTACCTTTGTCTTAATTTACAGCAGGTTTTGTATGAATTTTTAACCTTTTAACAAATCCCTAAGTCTGGTTGATGCCTTTGACAGTAATGAAAACGATTTCACCACCTCGAATCCAGAGCATCTGGCTTATCTGATTCTTTTTAAACCTTTTTTTTTTCCTTAATGAGCATGTAAAACATGGGGAACGTGGGGAACGGTGTGGCGTGCTCAGCTGACTCCTCCCGCCTTTGTAAACGCTCTGGTGGGTTCTTGTTTGGGGATGCGTTACTTTGTGGCTGGTCTAACGAGCAAGTGAACTCTCAAAGGTATCAAAACTGTGCTTCCATGATCCGCGCGAGAACAAGACAGGCTTTAAGGGGTGGATCACGTGGAATTTTGCAAGTCTTAATCACAGCTGCAAATGCGTGGATTCTGGATTTTTTTTAAAAAAATGTTTGCCAGAGGGCCATGTTCTTACCCAAGACTGGCGGGGAGGAGAGGGAGCCAGCCTCCCCCTACCCCGCGGGGG